TACTAACGTTGGAATTACCTTTTACCTAACTTTTTACTAATATTATATAATCACACGCATTTATATTTATATGTAATCTTTAATCTATATTTTAATAAATTATTAGATGGTTATTCTTTTTATTGATTATTTTTATTATATTATATAATCACACGCATTTATATTTGCTTGATTTAAAAATATATATTTATAAAATTAAATTATTATAAAATCATATAATTATAAAGTAAAGAAATAAAAAAATATGAATATTATTTTATAAACCATGAACAAAATATGAGTACCATAATTTCTTCATAAAATTAATAAAAAAATGCATACATATATATATATATATCTACATAATTAATGAAATAATAATATCTTTTCATTAATTATCTTTGCTATTAACATTATCGGTTCTATTCACTAAAACAATATTTCAATAATAATAATTTTTATTAATTATAAATTACGATTTATATAGAACTTATTTAATCATTTTAATAAAATAAATCTAGTTTTTCTTTTAGTTAACTTTTTTATTTTAATTTTGTTATAAATAAATAATAAATTAATCAAATAAATAATCAAGAACATAAATAAATTTAAAAATTAATAAATACATGCACATACACATATACATATATATAAATTTTTTTAAAATTGTCAACTCCTTTGTTATATATATATATATATATATATGCAATCATAAACATGTATAGTTTATTTAACTCAATCAAATTATAAAATCTCTATAATTTATTATTAACATTATGTCTAAATAAACACATAGATACATGAACATAATACATGGTAATTTAGCTATTGATTAAATTTAAGTTATATTTTAATCTACTCAATCTCTTTAAAATTAGCCATTGATGATTAAATTCATTATTATCATTATTATTATTAAAAAATATTTTATTAACAAAATTTCATTAAAATACATAAAATTATTTTAAACTCCCAACTAAATACATTAATTTTTTTGTCTCATAGCATCACATATTAAAGATTTCTATATAAATACAAAATTTTCAAAATATTATTAGATTTTCACTAAAATAATAATATTATTAAACAATAATCTAATATTCATTATTTTGAAAATAACAATATCAATGAGACTAATCTATATCTTAACAATTTTGGTAAAATAAAATATATGTTAATGGAGAAAAATCGATAATAGTTAGAAAATAAATTTTTTTCACTAACACAGCATAATCGCACAAAAACTAAAAATTAAAACAGTTTAATTACATTGTATGAATACAGAGTCTTTTTAATAACAAAACTCTATTTTGAAATACTCTCTCGTTTCTTCTATTTTCTGCATCTCTGGTGTCATTTATCATTAGAACCTCTATCGATATTGGTTGCACAAATATTTTATTCTTGATCTTTGGGAGGTTTTAGTTGCTTGTTGTTTACTAATTGTAAAAAAATGGTCTTATAGTTTTAATAAGACAATAATACAATAAATAGGAATAGTAATTGTTAATAAATTGTTAGATAACAAATGTTACGGGTTTTTTATTCATGAATATGTTTTGTCACAATAATTTGGTATGATTTTATTTTATTTTTTTAATTATAAACCAATGAAAATGAAGCAAAATGTCATGTAAGATGTTTAGGTGTTTTCACTAAATCTCTTTAAACTTGATTATATATGTAATAGATTTATACTTAATTTGGATGAGATTAACAATATATTAAGAAATGCTAATTTGAAATTTTTGGACAGAAACAAAATCATATATTAAATATAGGTTGTTCTTATTGTTAAAATAATCTCATTATATATAATTTATGTAATGATCCAATCGACAAAATGAGACGACACACCGATTACATATATAAGGGTAAACTCATAAAAACATTGAATTTGTAAAATAATGGAAAACAAATTCTTAAACCTTTCTTCAACAAATTTATTTATAAACTTACAAAATATGTCATTATAATTCTCAAACTTATTAATTGGCAATTGATTTTCACCATAACTCATTTTTAAAGATGACTTTCAGCTATTTCGCGAAACGCCCTAAACAACAATAGCTATGAAATTCCGATTTGGACTTCCAGTTGAACGGTGAGCAATCTATGTCCTCTGTTTCATGCATTTCTTGTTTTTTTTTTCCGGCATCACTAACATCATCTCTTTCATTAGATAGGTTTTTCTAACTTTCTAGTATTGTTTTTCCAGGATGTTTAACCACGGCCAATGATATGGTGAGTAAACAAAGTAGATGGCAGCGAATCCTACGATTGGAAACAACTAACTTTACTAATAGTTCAGTTGTAGTTCGAGGTAGTCCCACGATTTTTTTCTAATCTATTATCATCTTTTCAAACTCATTTGTAAAATTCAAAACGCACTCACCATATTTATCGTGCGATATTTGTGCAATTTTTATAATGGACAAATGTTAAATCAAGTAACTATGTAATGTTTGTGATTTGACACGTACACATAAATCATTAATCAAACATATTAATAAATTAAAATAGATCTTGTTTAATTTTGTTAAATTGTTCCCTCTTATCATCTTCGAAAGCAATACTATTGAGAATTGTTTCTTTTATTCGTTTTGAAAGCATATGAAACTATTGTTAGCAAAAATCTAAACATTAGAAAGATTATGTGTCCATAATCAATTTTCAAATTAGAATCACTTACCTTCTACTATACTTTATGAGTTTCACTCAACGACACCTGGTATGATGATTCTTGAATAGCTCTAAATGCATTGTCAATTGATTTATTGAACACATACACATAATTAAACATATTGTCTAAAATATATACACATTCATCTTGTCCTCTTTCATGTCAACTCCAGTTCTCCGGCTAGCGGCAGTTCTTTGTCTCGCGGCTATGGTGGTTTTGATTCCCACCCACATTCTCTTCATCATTTCCACCCTCTGCATATTGTAGGTTTTCAATCGTTGTTCCTCTTCTTCAATTCTGAAGATCTCTTCGTCGGAGGAAGATGACACCGATGGTGGATTGGCTAGCGATTGAAGTTCTAGGACCAGCGGATAAGGCTCTCGGTTCGACTCCACTGATGGTGGTATCAGATCTTCTCGTGCCGACGCAAAGCGAAGCACGCGTGCGAATATCCGATACCACCGTCAATGGAGCCAGTCCCGGAGTTTCAGCCGCTAGCCAATCCACCATCGTCATCGTGTTCCTCTGACGAAGAGATCCGCACTGAAAGAATTGAAGAGGAAGAACAATGATTGCAAACGTACTACATGTAGAGGGTGGAAACATGTAGAGGGTGGAAATGTTGAAGAGAAGGTGGATGGAAATCAAAACCGCCAGAGCCACGAGACGGAGAACTGCCGCCATCTCTTAATCAAACATATTAATGAATTCAAATAAATCTTGTTCAATTTTGTTAAATTGTTCCCTCTTATCATCTTTGCGACCAATACCATTGAGAACTGTTTCTTTTATTCGTTTTGAAAACACATGAAACTATTGTTACCAAAATCTAGACAGATTATGTGTCCATAATCAATTTCCAAATTAAAATCACTTACCTTCTACTATATATTTACGAGCAATTCACTCAGCGACACCTGGTAAGATGATTCTCGAATAGCTCTGAATACATTGTCAATTTATTTGCTTTGTCCTAACATTATAGCTGGAAGTTCTTCACCTTATCTTAATAGGACATGAAAGCAAATAAAACACAAATTTATTGAACAAATACACATAATTAAACATATTATCTAAAATATATACACACTCCATTTAGTTTGAATTATAAACCATCCAACCTATAGAATATTATCATCTTCAGATAAACATGAATAAGATAATATATTTGTTCTAATTTATATTAGTATCGATGAACACACGTAACGAACATCAAATTAGTACATACAACGCGTGAATCTAACCAATATTGCAAGACATGTATAGTAATAATCTAAACACCGATGACAACACGAAGCTTGAGTGTGTATTTGAGAGCATAGATAATAGATAAGTTATTTTCAATTTGTATTCAAATTTTGTATTGTTTTGTTTGAAATTTTTAGGTTTTCATGAATCAATAATATTTAGGTCTTCGAAATATGTTAATCAAATTTGGAAAATATTATAAAGATATATAACAAATTTCATCACCAATTCTGAATTTGATAATTGAAGACCTAAATTCAATGTGAGATGAAATTTGCTAACAAATTTATTTTGTAATTTCTTTTAACCTAATAATCAAAATTTTTTTTAATTCGATATGCAAATATCACATAAATGAAAATTTATTGAATATGATCTTGTCAATATTTTGGTCAAGTGGACCTGATGTGCTCCGTTTTTTCTCATTTTAAATATGCCAAAATAAGATTTAGTATTTCATCTATTAACTAGTGTTTGTTTAGGTGAAAGTTTGTTTTTATATTTTATATTTAAGTTGAACCTTATATAATAAAATTTATTCCCTATGACCATATAAAGAAAAGTACTTCTCTTCTCCTTTGTCCGTATATAATATTATAGAAATATTTTTCAATTATCTTTAGGTTTTATATTAAATCCAATGTTTATAAAGTTTCTCAAACGATTATAAAGTTATATATAATAAATAGGGAAACGATTTCTCAATTTGATAATTGAATAAAAATTCAATGTGAAACGAAATTTGCTAAAAAATTTAAAAAATTATTTTGTTTTCGTCATTTACAAAAGATTTTTAAATACTTTTTATATCTTTATCTATTTTCTAGATAAAATATAACTAATCTTTTACTTTGATCAATTTTCTTTTAATTGAGTATGCAAGTATGATGAATCTCATAAATATAATTAATACAATATTGTTAGCCATGATTCATTGTTTTCTGCAAACAAAAAATTCTTTTAAGAAAATTAAGTGTATATATTATTTAAAATCGAGATATTTGCGGTCTGTTGTTATGTGAATTTATTTTATAGAGTGAAAAGTTGAGAGGTTTTACTTTTACGAGCGGAAGAATCGTGTTTAATCATCAAGGGTTTTCCATAACTAGACCAAATCAAACATAAGATGCGCAACAACTCAATTTCTTATACTTTAACGAACCCTCCTCCAAGATCAGTTTATAAGCGATGAACCGGACTCATCAGGTTCAAGTCATTACGCGTCTCCTCCCCAACCGGACCAGAGTCTCAATCCTCATCGGTCATCTGAACTACCGTTAAACCTGTTCGGCGGGAGAGAGGAGTTGTTTGGTGTGGCACGAGCCAGTTGGAAGAAGATGATTTGAACCACGACTTGGAAGCCGCTCGTTTTGAAAGGCGTACGTGAACACATGCCTCATGTGATAGTTTGCCGCAGTCCATTAACCGGCACATCGCTTAATTTCTTTTCGCTCTTGGTGACTCCATGATGTCGCTGCTTAATGAAAATGTTATGAACAACTAAGCTAGTGAGATTCAGTTAAGTTGGCTCGTTAACTTAAGTAGCAAGTAAAGAAAAAAAAAGTGCCTAGGGTTTTTTGTGAATAAATTGTGACAAAAAATTAAATCTCGAAGAACATTAATTGGTTGACGCATGGTCCAACAATGTTATAATTTATTTTAAATTAGATATAGCAAATCAGAGTGGCGCAGCGGAAGCGTGGTGGGCCCATAACCCACAGGTCCCTGGATCGAAACCAGGCTCTGATAAATTCAATGTGGCTTCCGAATATTTTTTCGATTCAATTTCTGCTCTGTGACGTGTCAATATAAGAATTGATCGACTATACGAATGGTTAATATTTTATTTAAATAAATCACATACATAGCAACCCACTAAAAATTATACGAAACAATGCTTATGGAATTTGTTATGGTAGTTAGAACTCGATTTTTTTAAATTCTTTTATACATAATATCCTTTGAAACCATATCATTAAGAAAACAAAATTCGTTTTATGATTGTCATTTTAAACCCTGAAAGATAAAATACTCACATATGTCTAAAAAAATATAATTTCATAGATGTTATTCTCAAGACTCCAGAAATTAAAATATGCAAGAATAAGAGATGCGGTGCGAATTCTAAGGATCATACAGCCCCGACTTAAAATATGCAAGAATTAGAGATTAGATCAAAACAACTAAATACTTGCATGATTATCTTCTTTATGCCTCCACTGCCTCTCATCAAGCAAGCTCAGCTCAGAACAAACCGGCAATGCAGATAACCTGCAACAAATATTCCCATTCTCAAATCAACAATCTTAATATAAGTCCCCACAGGTTTTATTTTATAGTTGAAGATCGCCGAGATCTCTGACAAAAAAAAAGGCCATGTTTTTTTAATCTTACTTGGGTCTGCAGTGATTAGCATGGCGGTGCCGCCGAAGGAGCAAGTGCTGCCGTTTCTCTTGGTTTTCTGCCAGTAACTGTTGAAGGCAAAAGAGGCATGAGCCACTGCCGTGTCAGGTCTGAAGCAGCTTCCATGGGGCCTTATCTCATCGCAGTCCGCTCCTCCTTCTCCGCACGCGAAATCCAACGCCTGCTGCAGGATCTCCTCCGCCACGCTCGGCTTCGCCACGCACCATAGCCCTTCCACCGCCTTCGCCGGCGGCGGCGTCACCGCGGCGGAGAAGTGCGGCGGTGTAGCGGCGGGGTAAGGAGGACCGCACGGCGGGAGGGAGTATCCTGGGGCTGATGAGAGCGGTGAGTTGAAGGCCTGAGGAGGAAGATCCGGCGGAAGTGCGGCGGCGGAGGATGGTGGCTGCGATGAAAATGGGGGATCGGAGTTTCTAGGGTTTGTGGGTACGGTGGCCGGAGCTGAGAATCCAATCGAGGAGCGGATGGGGGAGATTTCTGGTAATGGGGACGGTCTTGCAGGGAAAGGGTTTATGGTTTTGCTGCTGAAATCGACGAACGATCTAAGCTTTCTTCTGTTCATCATGGTTTCAGCATCTTCTGGTACAGGGTTTATGAAATTCACCTTGTTGAAGCCCAAAGACCGAAACTTTTTGGTGAAATGAAGCAAACCGAGTTGATCATCTGGTGAAGGGGGGAAATTCGGAGGTGGGGTTATGGTGAAAGTTGAGTTTATGGTTTGGAGAAAGAGAAGAAGGGGCTTGATCGCTTCCTCAAAAAAGACTTCGTTTGTGTTCAAGCACTGGTAAGAGAAACCAGAGGAGACTTTGATGTCTTTCTCCAGACCCCATCTGACAAGGGAATGGTAGATGTTCTTAAGGGAAGACAGAACCAGAGCAGAGCCGTGTTCTTGCTGGGCGGTCTGGCAAAAACCTCGGACAATGACAACAATGGTGGTGATTTTGGTGGAAGGGTAGCGAGACAGAACGTGGGTTCGCAACCATGTTTCAGCGGTGATAACACTAGAGGAGATCTCTGCAACGGTTTTGTCATCACTCACAGAAACAGCAAAAGCAAGATCATTGCTTTGAGGAAGTTCAAGGACTCTTTGATGGAGATTAAAGGCTCCAATGAATGATGATTCTTGACCAGCTCCTGCAGAAATGCCAGAGAATTAATTAAGCTTTTTTTTCCTTCTAATGATCTGTAGAGAGGGGAGAAACAGATCTTGTATTGCAATTTATGCTTACCTGTAAGACCCAGAAGGGAAATGAAGAAGAGAAGGCGAAGAAGAGGAGGAGGACATGCCATCACAGTGCCTTTCGAGAAGGTGGTGTGTACACAACCAAGTTACAGTTTGTCCTTTTGGTACTGAACATGAGGGAGGTGTTTATATATATAAATATATATATTTGTATTTAACGAAGCTTCATGCAGAATAATTGTATATTGACGCATGACAAAAAAAAAAACACCGTTGTGATCAATGCAGAAGCCAATTTGACTGCTGAGTCGTTAGCGACACGTGTCATAAAAAAAAGCGTATAGACCTCTTACGGGAAATCATGAAATGCCATCCCACTCCCCCACACCATGCCACATCTATTGATTAATTAAATATTGATTCAAATCACTTTGTTTTTATGAATATCATAACATTAAAATGTACATGTTATATATAAAACAATAACTGTGATATATATTGTTTTACTTCATACAGTCCTATTTTAAAAACATTATTAATCATTAGTTATTAGTTAACCAATCCAACGGCGCCGTTTCGGGATTCCAGTAAGAGGGCACGAAAGGCACAAAATGTCACGGGCCCCACAGGGACCGATATTCCGTGGGGTCCAGTCCATTTAGGTCTTTGTTCGGGCAAGCCGTCATAGCAGCTTTTTGGGCCTTGGCTAGGCCCATTTAACAAAAAAAAAATCGTCCCATTTCAAATGTCCACGCATAATGATATAATGATAATAATTCCACTCTAATCAATCGCTTAGTTAATTTCCTCTTGAACCCTTGGGATTCTTAAATCACTTTGGAGGTTTTGAATAATCCTGTCATGATTATAACAGTGATTTGTCCAACACTTTATCATGATTAGACCTCATTTATTAATTTTAATTAATTAGTGGTTTAACATAAACAGATACATAGTATTTTCCCTTTATGTATCTGTTACGGTCAAGATTTGGAACCCACAGACGTGACACAAGGCAAGCAATGGCCCATGCGACCGATGACTCTCTGTTCTTCCTTCAGCTATTTTGTTTTTACTACGAAACCATAATATATAATTATATATTTTGATTTCTTATAAAAAAAAAGGAAATAGTTCGCATTAAACCTTCAGGATATTTTTCATTTCTTGAAAAATAAAACTATTTATGAAAAGTTAAGCAGAAAACAAATTTTGATTAGATCACTCGTGGTACGGAAGCGTATCGTAACAAATTTCCGGAAAATGAAATATTCGGTACACAGTCGTCACGGGAAAGCCTTAATTCGTGGCTTTGCTTTCGGTGTTAGTTTGGTATCTGGAAAAATATGTGAATATATATATATATATATATATATATTATATATTTCCCGTAATATAATTGTTGCGAGGCTTTAACGTTTGCGTGGAATGGAAGAAAAGCAAATATAAATACAACTTTGTATGAAGAATATTTGTTTCTTGTTATTGACGATATAAATTCGTGTCTATTGTCGGAAGTTTTATGTTCTTCTTTTTAAACGTTGATCTCTATATCATATCATTTGTTTTCCATTTGTGTTTTTTAAAAGTGTAGATAAAAGGGTGAAATTGTAATTACCCTGAAAAATATAGATGGACAGCTAAATTAACCAAAAAGCAGGAAAACCAGAAAAGATAATAGAAAAGTGAAAAATAAAAATAAAAAGGAACAAAAGAGAGTAAAAAGAAAAGTGGTGAATGAAAATGCGATTGAGCGTGTGCTTTTGTCCCCTTGCATTGTGCAGTACACTGAAAGTCGGTGGATTCATAATCAGACTGAGACTGGGATAGAAAATCTGACCAAAATTTTATAAAATAATAATATTTAATCATATTAAAATTTAATTACCCAAAATTCATTAACTATAAATTAGAAATTTAAATCAAGGAAGTATAAATTAAACATTAATTTCCTCCTAATCAAAATTACTCCTATCTTGTATAATTTCAGAGATTAAGAAAACAAAAAAAAAAAGTAATCACTAAATCAAAAAGAGGAAAGGAAAAGCTTAAAAAGATATGAGCAAAAAAAAAAGCTAAAAAGAGAAGCTAACGTTCACCCTTCCACCTCACTTTATTCCAAAATTACACATACGGACTTCATTTAAAGCTTCTTTTTATTTTTTTAATAAATATATTATATATGAAGTCCATAGTATTTTTTGTTACGGTATCAAAGGAATAGTTTATATCGATATAGAAAATGAAATTTCACTGTTACAACATACGGCAGACTCCAGATTGAATTTATTTATTTGTATTTGCTATTTGGAACGTTTCAGAAGTGAATTTGAGATATCATATTTTCACGTGAAAACATGCGAATTACCTTTTTTTCTACAAAACAATGAAATTATCTTTTGGAGTGTGTGGTTTCAAATAACACTGTTGGTCCGCATCTTAATCTTCGGTGGTCCGGACCACACAGGATTGGCTTTCTGATTACAGAATCAGCCCAAGTGGCACTCGCAACTTCAACTAGGGTTGGACATTTATACCTGTTCAAAGATATATATTTTTTATATTTTAAATATATTTTTAAATTAAATAATATAATTTTATTAATATTTGGTTTATATTTATTTAAAAAATATATATTTTACGGGTACAGATATCTGTTGATACCTGTCTTTTAATCACAGATATCCGGTGTTAATGAGATAGAAAAATGAGACATTGTTTTCATAAAACGCGCGAAGAGGAAGACGAAAACGGATATCTCTAAAATCGCGGATATCTGACCCGTACCCGACCCTAACTTCAACACCACAATTTCTGTGCTTTATTCACACATATATATATATATATATATATATATATATAATTTGGGAGATGGTTGACTATTATAGTATAGTTTGGGCTCATTTTGCGTAGGTGGGTTAGAGAGATCAAACAAAACTAGGGTCCAGCCTGTCAAATTCAAAAGCATAAGATCGGAAATCGCGGATATCTGACCCGTACCCGACCCTAACTTCAACACCACAATTTCTGTGCTTTATTCACACATATATATATATATATATATATATATATATAATTTGGGAATATAAAAATAATTTGGGAAAACTCGTATAAAATGAAAAGTTGGCGATCGAATGGTTTGTGTCTGTCGTCTTTCACTTAGCCTCGATATCGACAACGGAAACTAAATTACGAGAATGAGCATCGCATTCTCTGTTAAACACGGCACAGGCATGGGCATGTCCGTCTTTTCACGTCGTGCTCCTTTTTTTTTTTTATATATGGTTGTGATTCCGTAGTCACTGGGCAAAGAATTTGGAATATATTTCGTGTCATTAACGTCGATAACGAAAGTTTTCGACACGAAATCGAATTGCGGTACAAAGACTTTCCACACACGTCTTGGTTTTCCATAATCTGTCGGATTTCTTGTTACAATTAAATATACATCTTCACACGCATTATTATTAAACTGTAAAAAATATATCGTTTTAAAATGATATAAATATGTAATTTTTATTCATTCGCAGTAAATCTTCAAAGCTGGCGACGAAGTTGTCGGTTACTATTCTTCGTGTCTTTTAGGAAACTGTTCACTGAATTTTGTGGTTCTTTCCTTCGCGCAGATATTTACACGTAATTCGATTCATTGAGTCAGAAATGACACCACATTGGTGACATAAAAGTTTAGTTATTTTCCACTTTTTTTATAATTATTTTAAAAATAAGTCAATATCAATAGCGCTAACCATCATGTGATTACCATGTGTATTTTTTGTTTTTTCTTAAAACTAAAAGAGAATTGCTGACGTCAGCTCATCGTCCAGATCTTGAAACCCACCGAAGAGCGAACCTTCGCTTCCCATATCTCTCTCTCTATCTCTCTCTCTCCATGTCCTGGCAATTTTTTTCCCGCATAAGACATAGAAAAAGAAAGGGAGAGAGAGAGAGAGAGGGGGGGGGGCACAAAAGAAGAAAATAGGGCGTAGAAGATGAATTTAGAGAGAGAGAAGATTTGTAAAACAGTTAATCGAGATTCGCCATGAGAGCTCCTCACTCCTGCTTCTTCGTCTTCCTCTCCCTCTTCTCTATCCTTATCTCGCCGTTATCCTTCCTCATTCCCGTATCTGGAGGCGGAGGGCCAATCCGATTCGATAGGGAATTTGCAGAGGTTCATCGGAGAATTCTGCATCAGCCGCTTTTTCCGGAGAGTTCTACTCCGCCGCCGGCTTCCGATTCGCCGCCATCTACTCCGGCTACTCCCGATATCCCTGATCAGCCTTTCTTCCCCGAGGTACCGTCCACGTCTTACCAGAGTCAGTCTCCTCCTTCTCCTCCGCCAGCTTCCGCTGCTGTCAATGGCGGATTGCCGATTCCGACAGCTACTCAACCAGCGAAACCGGGGAAGAAAGTCGCGATCGTCATATCCGTTGGAATTGTTACACTCGGTATGCTCTCTGCTCTGGCTTTCTTTTTGTACCGACACAAAGTGAAACACGCGAGCGAAACTCAGAAACTCGCCAATGGAGGCGTCGATGGCGGTTCGCACATGTTGCAGGAAGATACGAGACCACCTACGTCCAGTTTTCTCTATATTGGAACGGTTGAGCCGAATCGAGAGTCGTCTATTGTGACGAATGGCGAAAGCAACGGAACGGCCAATGTGTCACCGTATCGGAAGCTGAATTCGGCTAAAAGATCGGATCGGTATCGGCCGAGCCCGGAGCTTCATCCGCTTCCACCATTATCCAGGCCTCCACCGTCTGGTGATTCACCGTCAGTGTTGTCTCCATCTCCGTCACATTCATCTTCCGACGAGCAGAGCCGCGACGCGGCATTTTATACGCCGCACAAATCTACGATCAGCAGCGAGGATGGTTTCTACACGCCGTTTGTTCGTTCCGCCGATAGCACCAACCATTCCACCGGCTCGGTTCCTCACTCGAAGAGAACATCTCCGAGGTCGAGGTTTGCAACAGGAGGCGCGACGGCCGGAACGAAGGCTTCATCCTCGCCGGAGATGAAACACGTCATCATTCCATCGATAAAGCAGAAACAGCCACCGCCGCCGCCACCGCAACGGGGGTCGGAAAATAAGCGCCAGGAGCTTACCTATTCATCGAACCGGCCTAAGTTTTCGTCTCCACCTCCGCCACCAAATAGGGCGGCGCTTCAGGCAATAAACACAGATCAAGCCCTTCCTCCGCCTCGGGCGCCTCCACCTCCGCCGCCGCCGCCGCCTCCCCCTCTTCACAAGCAGACGGAAGACTTCCAGATACAGCGTAGGCCGAGCGGTTCCGAAGTAACCACTTCTACAACGTCAAATGAACCTCTGAAGAAACAGGAATTCAGGACTCCGAGTCCCAAATCCAAGCCAGAAGAGGTTAATAGCAGATCAGGTGGTTCATCCGAAAAGACGGGAGATGCGGAAACTGATTCAGGTAGGCCGAAGTTGAAGCCTCTCCATTGGGACAAAGTGCGTGCGAGCTCGGATCGCGCGACTGTTTGGGACCAGATCAAGTCGAGTTCATTTCAGTGAGTATCACTGCTTTCTATACCATGCGCTTGAATTGTGGTTGTTTTTGAACGGTGATCACATCTCACGGTGTGATACAGGTTGAACGAGGATAGGATGGAACATTTATTTGGTTGCAATACGAAAAAACCAGCCCCAAATGAAAGCGTGAGAAGGTCGGTGCTACCTCCAGTGGAGAATGAGAACAGAGTATTGGATCCGAAGAAGTCACAGAACATTGCTATTCTTCTTAGAGCACTGAATGTAACGCGGGAAGAGGTGTTCGAAGCCCTGTTGGATGGTATGTGACAGTCTCTCTTTCGGTTTGTCATCGGGCATAACATTGCATTTGCGAATTTGTCACGTTGATTAAACAACGAATGGCAAGTTCCCAGCGAATCTTAAAAATATCCAATTGGATAAAGCTTTCGTTGCCCCGAGAATTCTGCAAATATCTTCTTGCGCGAAGAGCCACACCCGAAATATGTCATTGGACTTCTAATTTATGTCTCAGCTTGTTGCTTGATTAAACCTGTGATGCTGTAACAGGTAATCCCGATAGCTTAGGTGCGGAGCTTCTGGAAACACTGGTGAAGATGGGTCCAACCAAAGAGGAAGAGATAAAACTTCGAGAGTACTCTGGTGATGACTTGAAACTCGGGACAGCTGAAAAGTTTCTTAAAACCATTCTCGATATACCTTTCGCCTTCAAAAGGGTCGAAGCAATGTTGTATAGAGCCAACTTTGATGCAGAAGTTAAATATCTGAGGAACTCATTCCAGACACTAGAGGTACTCCTCAAATTCCAACTTCCCTCCAGGCAAGAGTTTTGTCAACTTTAACTACATCTCTTTTTGTTCTGTGTAATTAATGCTTTCCAGGATGCAAGCAAAGAACTAAAGAACAGCAGGCTGTTCCTCAAACTACTGGAGGCTGTTCTAAGGACAGGGAACAGAATGAATGTGGGAACTAATCGTGGAGATGCCAAGGCATTCAAACTTGATACTCTTTTGAAACTCGTGGACATAAAGGGTACTGACGGGAAGACCACGTTGCTCCACTTTGTGGTCCAAGAGATCACTAGATCCGAAGGCATGCCTTCGGACTCTACAAACGGGAACTGTCAGAGCGAAGAGTCACAACCGGAAGAAGGCGATTTGAAAAAGCAAGGGCTTCAAGTAGTGGCAGGACTCAGTAGAGATCTTGGCAACGTGAAAAGGGCAGCCGGGATGGACTTTGACGTTCTGAGCAGTTACGTTTCCAAACTCGAGATGGGTCTGGATAAGGTTCGATCTGTTCTGCAACACGAGAAGCCAGAAACGAAACAGGGGAAGTTCTTCGATTCAATGAAGGCGTTCCTCAAAGAAGCAGGGGAAGAGATGGGTATGGTCAAGGAAAATGAAAGGAAGGCGTTAAGGCGGGTGAAGGATGTGACAGAGTACTTCCACGGGGATGCGGGGAAGGAGGAATCTCATCCACTGAGGATCTTCATGGTGGTAAGGGATTTCCTCGGAATACTCGACAATGTTTGTAAAGAAGTGAAGACGATACAGGAGAGAACGGTGATGGGTTCGGCTAGATCCTTCCGGATCTCAGCCACAGCTTCATTGCCAGTCCTTGGCAGGTACAACGGTAGACACGAGACAAGCTCAGACGAAGATCATAGCTTGTCTCCATGAGGTTTATCGGCATGGGGATGGGAAGGTCAGGAAGGAGAACATCTTTCTCGGCAATCAATCGTATACCATTGGGGCTCGGACAGCAAGTAGACTGTCTGTACAGGATTTTTTTTTTTACAGCGAGAAGGAGGATCTACACGAAATGGACCGGCAAAAGCAGAATAGGGAGCATATAGAGTTTTAGGAAGTCAGAGCTGATTCCCGGGTAAAGGAGGGAGTGTGTGATCGATCAGGTTTTGTTGCCGTGACGCGGAATGCGGTTAGTGATATGTCTTTTTTTTCCCCCGAGCGACCGAAAGAATAAGGGAAACCTCTCTCTTTTTTTCCACATTTATAATAATAATATGTTATATGAAGGGTAATTTTGTTTCGGATGGGTTATTGCCATAGAAACGGAGAATCCTTCTTGTTTGGTAACTGACTTTACTGTCAACTGAAAAAAGGTGGTGATATCGGATTCACGTTGCTGCTTTCGGCGGTATAAACATCTGGCTGAAGAGTTCTTTCCTCGGAGACTCAGAAACGATACAAAATGAGTGCCTAACAGTTTGGTCGTCTTATACAAAAACAAGTGAAGGTGTTTGGATTAGTAGGTGTGATTTTGGTGGGAAAAGAGATAAGGATTATCTCGAATGGCAACCGCAGAATGCGGGGGAGAACGTGAAAGGGGATGGGTGGGTGGCATCTAGGGCATACGACAATGCCACTCAATGAAACCCTTGGATGCTTCGGATTTGTATTCGGTATGTGTTTTGTCCTTCTACCACCCAAAAGCCAAAAACATGTGACGACTTCACTTTCTTGTACGCTTTCCTCCTCCCCCCTTTTTCTTTGGGTTCTCTTCTCCTTCACCCCCACCGCCGTATTTTCTTATCGAAAAATTTCTTATCTTTTTTCGATTGGTTTTTACATAAAAGAAGATTGGATTTGTTTTAGCACAGAAAACTACATGGATTAATTGCAGTTTCTGTCGTGATATTGTTACCTCCTAATTGGGAGAGGCCCAGTAGGATCCACGCGCGACTGCGGGTCAACCTTCATCGACTAACCAAACACAAAAGACTAGAAAGAACATCAAGGGGGGAAAAAATCAAAAGAGCCAAAAGATTCGTCGTTCCATTTATTTAGCGATGGTTACATTCGGGGGGATCACAAGAAAAGCTTTAAAAAAACCAGCCGATTCTTGGGTGGAACAACGATTGCAGAGTGATTTTTTCTTTTTGTGCGAGTTGATGATCATGGAGAGGAGGATGAGGGTAACGACAAAAAGAAAGGAGAACATCCGAACCTCTTGCTTCCCAACACGTTCTTAACCAGCAGTTTCCACCTTCCCTCCTCTTTCTTGCTCTGCTTCTCTTTCCTCTCCTTGAAGTTCCTGTCCACCCCCACCCGAATTAACAACACACAATCACATATCTCTTTAACACAAATCTACATCATATGAACCCATCATTTTTCATATCCGAATCAGAATCCAATGGTACGGATAAGAAGGTAAAGGATGGACGGTTGGTGTACCTGCAGAGAGGAACACAGCATCGATTGGAATCGGCGCATAGACGGGAATGAAGCTCGAGAAGTTGCCACATCCTCTTGCAATGGACGCAGCCTCCGGGCACTCTCAGGCTACACCCCGCGAAATGCCGAATTAGGGTTTCCAATCCCTTGCAAGCTTCATACCCGCACGGTGCCTCGTTCTCTTTCAAGTCCTTCCCCTGCGGCCCTATCGTCCTGCACCCATCCCTGCATATATGCACCAGCGCTTCCATCGCCTCGTACAGTTGGGCGTACACCTTCTGCTCCTTCGCTTTCCTCATCCCCTCCTTTCTTCTCTGCACATTTGTTTGAAATGCTTCATCAAAAACATGAGAAATTTGAGACGAAAGGAGACTGTGAAAGAAAAAAAAATGCATACGTTTTCCCCGTGGATCATCGAATCTGAGAGTTCTTTCTCGAGAAACGGATGGCTTTTCTTCATAGCCTTCCATGCTTCTGAAGCATAAACTTTCTTGAAGTTCTTCAAGATCATACGGTGAGAAACGACGCTGAGGCGGGGGACGTCACATAGCAGTGAAAGCTGGAACACGTCTACTACATTCTCTGTGGTGAGCAACCCTTGTTCCAGATGCCATTCACACAGCTGTTTCAGCTGAGGGACGACATACACGTGCGACATCACTAACAAATGCATCACAAACTCGTTCATGTCTTCTTTCTCGTAACTACAAATGAAAGCCGGGTTAATCAGGCCCATATATAACCAGAAATACCAGGGAAAAAAAAACAGGGCAGAAGAAACAGGAAGACCAATCTATACCAGGAAGAGTAGAGGAAGCGGATAAAAGCCCGGACAGCATCTTGAGGGACACCACGGATTGCAATTGATTGCCAATAGCCATGTCTTTTGGCTTGCTTCAACATGCCTTTAATTACAGGAGAGGCGGTTCCCTGTGATCGTCGATAAACCAAATGAATAGTTTGTCTTTACAAGAGATACAAGGGCAAATAGAACACATCAACTAAAAAGAGAGGGGTAAGGATTCAGATGAAGAATAACTAGAAAATCCAAAACAGCAACCTTTAATTTTCGCTGTGACAAGCCGAATCAACAAACTTACATATCAATCATGCATCTACATTTAGTATTCTCAACTTTTCTTGTCGAGTTCCAATTCTCAAATGTGGTTCAGTCGGCATCCTCCCACAGGTTCTAAGCACATTAATTGTGCAATTGTACACAAGAATGACTTTCTACGTCAAATGAAGCCTAAAAGAGCTTACAATGATATCGGCATGAGCATAGACGATGCTACCATTATCTGTATGAATCACGACATCGGCTTTACAACTCTCGTTGAAAAGACGATCCCACATAGCTCTTGTCGCTGTTGAAACACAGCAACGCCCTAATTGATTTGGTGGTTCCACCCGGAACCTTTTCTGGTAGCCACCGCTTTTCCATGGAGCGGGTGGAGGAGGTGGCACAGATTCGGCAGCTTTGACTTGGTGATGTTCACTGCAAGCAGTCACCATTTTTGCACCTTGGTTTCTTATCTTCCCTCCTACAGGAGTCAAATAACAATGATAATTGCAGGCTAATGGCTATAACAGATTACATAATCAAAATTTTCGTTGTCCCTTCGGAAATTCCAACAGACCATATCATAATTTGTCATTTGCCTATGAACACTACCATGATATCAAACCCAGATCCGAGTTCAACCAGTCTACAGTTACTAGATTTATTAAGAATCATTTGATTCAGGAAACAAATTTCAGCAAATCGCAAAAGTGATTAGAGATCTCATGTCAGAATAAACAAATCGATAGTAGAGACATCAACAAGCTGAAAACCCACACAACTCATTGCACATATCAGGATCCCCACAGAACACAAGCTTTATTCCACGAAATCAGGAAATTCTGTCAAAACGGTAACCAAAAATTCTAAGTCGTAATCGCCAAATCAAAACAACCGACCGACAATCACAAACGATCCGAAACTCGGATATGATTGCCACAACGTTAAATCTACAGAAAATGAAAGAGAAAAAAATCGACGATCCAGTTTCACCGACATACCTTCACCACGTTCCAGAATCTGGATTTATCGGATCAAACGAACACAAAGAGGCGTCGAGTAGCGATACACACACCGATCATTCACCTTTAGGCAGAGAGAGAGAGATAATACCAGAGGAGAGGTCGAGAGAGAGAGGTCTGCTCCTTGGCCGAGCGGGCGGGAGAGAGAACGCAAGAGAGAATCTCTCCCTCTGGATACTCGCAAAGGAAACGAGAATTGATTTTCCAGATTTTCCTTCTTTTCTCGTTAGATATTTTTAAAGAGAGAATTAAAAAGCATAGTGGGGCCAGGGCGCGTGGGACACGGACATGACATCGACGGTTGAGGATCCACGCGCCGGTCGGATATACACAAATAGACGGCAGAGGACCCATCCATTTTGCATGCGAGAGCGCCAGCCAGGTCGTCGTGTTCTGTCGTTCGACACCTCACATCTTAGCTGTCTTTTGTCCTTTTTCTCTTCGCTACGCGACGTCCACAGACATTTGTGCATACGAATTGAAAGTCTATAAAATTCGTGTCATTTTTTCGTAAGACTGTAATTACAAAACTTGCAAACAGTAAATCTCTACCTATTGGACCGTCAAAAGGCTTAACGGTGGTTATGGGCCGTCGTATTCTCTTTAAAATGGGCTCAAATAGCAAAAAAATGTTAATAAGGTTTCTTCGGCTCTTTTGAAATATATTGGCCTTTTTTTGTTTCGCACTGCATACAAAAAATTCCAACTTAAAAAACAAAATTACTCATTATGGCGTCGCCCGGACTCGAACCGGAGACCTTCAGTGTGTTAGACTGACGTGATAACCAACTACACCACGACACCTTGTTCGAAGAGCAGAGTCTTATTTATTAGACATTAAAACCTATTATTTAACCGCACCGGTTTTCTTGTCTACCGGACTGGACCCTACAAAATCTATTACTTTAAACCGGTCCGGTCCGTCTTGTAACGTGGGAAAGAATTTTCCAGCCTAGTTTTGCGGTATTCATGCGCATCATATTATACCACTATCTGAATAAAATCGTTATTTGATTCCCCCAATGGGTTCAACAGACTATTTTCGTAATTGATTTTGCTGAACGATCATACGACGGTGACCCCAATCAACGGTTGAGAGTAGTCCTGTCACCCTTTAAAGGTCACAAGCAGTAATTATAGCAAATCATTTGCCATTTATTAAAGCTCGTCTACCACAAAAAAAATTAAAATTAAAACCGATTCTCATTTCTCTTCTTCGCCGCTCTCTCCCTCTCTCTCTCTCTCTCGTTTCTCGGATCTTTATCTTTCTATCCGATCGACTATGGCCAAGGGACCTGGACTCTTCGCCGATATCGGCAAAAAAGCCAGAGGTAATTCATCTTATGTTCCTTTTCTGTTCTCACGCTGTAATCGTTGCGATTTTCGGCGGAAATTGCGCTGTTGTCGCTTGTACATACGTACAGATACGTATATCTTGCTGCTTGTGTATCTATATGCAATGTTGAGCTGATTTCCTTGATTTGTGTGTTACCGCGTGTTAGATCTGCTGACGAAGGACTATAATTCTGATCAGAAATTCAGCGTTTCCACTTACAGTGCCTCGGGAGTGGTACGTATTTCATCGATGTATCCATTTCCTGTTTAATGGCTGGATTTGGAATCTGGCTTATGTTTTTATGTCTCGCTTCTGTTATAGATTTGCCTTTGACCGTGAACCCTTGTGTTCGAGACTGACTAATCCTTGCGGATTGGCAGTCGTAGTCGTATTGAATCGCTTTCAATCAGATCCCTAGTTCCAAATGATAAGTCGGATAGATCTCATCTTTGTTAGGATTGGTTTCATGGATTGCTCGATTATATCGTGGTCTGCTGTGTAGCAAACAGAGAGCTAGATTTCTTGTACAGAGCTAACATCTCTTGTTGTTTCGTTGATGTTGGGTACATGTTTTGAGAGGGTGACTTTATATGATACATTCCTCAGTCTATCCTGTTAGCATCCACCCTTATTGCTTGTAGTTTTTTAATCTCTATTACGTTAGCCAGTTGTTACAGACTTACAGTAGGCATAATATTCTGACAAAGTTGTGATGTCAGTTGAAGCTAATTATGGGTTCCTTGGTTGCAAATGTTGCATATCGGACCCGTTCTATTCATTATTTTTTTGCTTCATAAGCCAAGGGTAATGGATCTATAGAATGTGAAGGGGTTATCTTTCAACTTCATTACTAAACTTAATTCAGTGTTAAAAAATAAGAGCCTTGGTGGAATGAATGTTTTCCCTCAAAATCGTGGCACTGTGATGGTGCTTCCTAACCTTTTTCTTCTGTTGTTTAGGCCCTTACATCAACTGCACTCAAGAAAGGAGGACTCCACGCTGCTGATGTTGCTACTCAGTACAAGTACAAGAACACCTTGTTCGATGTCAAAATCGATACTGAATCAAATGTGAGTTAATCTATCTGATGAACAAAATCTCTCTTGGAAGGTCGTGCTAGCTTGTACAAAACAACTCTGATAACTTTTCTGTTTTTATTTTGGGGGGCAGATCTCCACAACCATCACATTCACTGAGGTCCTTCCATCCACGAAAGCCATCGCCTCCTTCAAAGTGCCTGATTACAACTCTGGCAAGGTTTGAACAGAGAGGATCATTTTCAAACCCTTTTGATAATAATAACCCTTCAATGATTTTAAAAAACCCTCCCTTCTAATAACTCGCTTTTTTTTTTTTTTTTCCAGCTGGAGGTTCAATACTTCCATGATCATGCAACTCTCACCGCTGTTGCAGCTCTTAAGCAAAACCCTCTAATCGACGTAACAGCTACTCTCGGTACACCGACCATTGCATTCGGTGCAGAAGCCGGATACGACACTGCTTCCAAAACTTTCACCAAGTACAATGCTGGGATCAGTGTGACAAAACCGGACGCTTGTGCCTCCATTATACTGTAAGCCCATTTTTTTATTCAGATCTCTTGGAGAACGAACTAATTCTCAGGTCTCTCCATCTATAATCTGAAATTTCCATTTCAGGGGAGACAAGGGAGACTCGATAAAGGCATCATACCTGCATCATGTAGACGAGGCGAAGAGAAGTGCGGCAGTGGGGGAAGTGTATAGGAAATTCTCAACGAACGAGAACACGGTAACAGTGGGTGGATTATACGCAGTGGATCATTTGACGACCGTGAAAGCAAAGCTTAACAACCACGGTAAGCTCGGGGCACTTATCCAGCACGAGGTTGTGCCCAAATCGCTAGTGACCGTATCTGGTGAGATCGACACTAAGGCTCTGGACAAGTATCCGAGGTTCGGTCTCTCCTTAGCTCTGAAACCTTGAGTGAGAGAGAGAACACGCGATGGACTTTGGTCTGAACTCTGAAGCTTTTTCACTTCATGAATCTCATCATCATCGTTTCTACGGCGGCTTCTTTTGGGGATTTGCGTTTTCCAAATAATCATCTCCGCAGGCAAACAAACTGACGGTTTATTATTTCTTTTTTAAGACCGTTTTTGTTTTTTTTTTTGGCTGTTAATCCCAAGGATTTTACCAATTTTTCGCAATATCGGCACCCTCATTCTCTAACCTGAACATGTCAAATTTCGGTACATTCCGACCACGGCAGTTTATTGGGGGTTTGATTATATTTGAATCGATTCACTTATCTTGGATTTAAAAAGTCTATAACCACTTGATTTTTATATTTAATTATTCAATCTTTGAATTCGAATTATAAATTCGATTGAATTTCAATTATTACTAATGAAACTATTTAATCAAAGAAATTTTGGTTTTTTCAATTCGTTCTGATTCTGATTTGATTTGGTAATGTCTGTCTATATGTTATTCGATAACCAAATTGAACCAACACTAATTTCGTTTCGACAAGAGTGAAATGAACATACAATGAAACATCCTAAACGCCATACACAACAATCATGAAACAAAATATTCATCATAATAACAAAAAACACAAAATAACTTGAGTGGGTGGTTATTAAATCATCCTCATAAGTAGATCGAAACAAAGACGTTCTCATGTCCGCAACCAAACCCTAAATTTCCATCGCGAAAACAAAGTAAACACGGAAAATAAAAAACAGATTAACCTGGGAAAGTTTTTTTTTTCATAGATCAATCAACGCTCTGCATGACATCCTCCGCACTGAACTTAGTTCCCTTGTCCTTATCCGCAGCCGCCTTACCCTTCGCCTTTCTCTCGAGCAACGACTTCCTGTCCTTATCCAGCCTCAGCTTCGTTATCACCACCTTTGACGGGTTTACCCCCACGTTCACCGTCGTCCCGTTCACCTTCTCTCGAGTGATTCGCTCTACGTGAATCACCCACTTCCGGCGGTATACCTGCACCACCTTTCCCTCCCGGCCCTTGTACGTTCCCCTCACCACCTGGATCTCGTCGTCCTTTCGCACCGGCATCGATCTGACGTTGTACTTCTGCCGAAGGTCGGTCGAGAGCGGCGCGCTCATCAGGACGCGCCTCACGCTCGACGGTGCGGTGAAGTGAGCCTTCCTGTTCTTCCGGCGAGACGAGCTCACTCGCGGGTTGTACTTCATCTTCTCCCCCCTGTGAAAAAGAACGAGGAACCTAGGGTTTTTTTTGTGGTTGAGGCCGACGAAATGCGGTTTGAACTGAGATTATAAGAAATCCCCAAGACGGAGGAAAACGGCGCCGTTTGGCTGATGGCAGAATTAGGGTTTTCCTTTGATCTCTGCACTCTACTGGTCCGTATCTCTTTTAAGTGAGTTAATGGGCCTGGCCCAATACTGAGAAATACCCATTTTGAAGCCCATAATAAACTTCACGGTTCTCCCACTGAAATTGATCACACAACACAGCACCACTTCATTGTCTAACAGATTTTTTTAATCCAACATCCGAAACCCAGCTCTTTTTTTTTATAAGATAAATCCTTTCAAATTTTATCCCGTGATTCTTTGTATAAAATCTATTATTAGATACTAATCTAAAAGATCAATTCATAATTATTACAAATGTTACAAAACTAGGATGAGGAATATATAATAATATAGAATTGTGCATATCCATGTTGTCCTTGTACAACTACGCAATGATTTTGGTTAAATTGAAGTCGAAACACAAAGTGGCAGGATTGATACTAAATAGGGTGAATAAGAGAGATGTTGGGTGGTCCCTCTACCTGAATCAAAGGGTCATGGAAATGGAAACACTTTAAAGGGCATTCACATGCAATCCCTTTATATTCGCCCTACCCTATTTATTAGTTATTACACCCTTTACTCCCAGTTCTTCCCCTCCCATTCTCAAACCCTAACCGACGAATTCAAAACCTCCATAAAAACTTGTAGTTTTATTCTCTTTCGAACCAAAAAAGAGAGAGAGAATGAAGGGCTGGACGAATCTAGGAGTTGTGGATACGATATATGAAGAGGAAGACAATGGCTACTCTTCATCTTCATCTTCTTCTTCTTCGTCTCTTTCACTTCAACGTATAGATCTCTCCTCTCCTTCCCCTCCTCTTAAATCCAGACTCCAGGAAATATGGTAACACCTCTGTCAATTGTTTTCTATTATTGTATGTTAATATAAGATAAGATCAAACTTGTATTTATTTTATGTTCCTTTAAATTTTGGCGTGTCTTCATTCCGTGACCATTATATCTTCAAAATTAAGGTCATTGGCTAGGGATTCTGCGCCGGATGTGCTTGTACATGTGAAAGGAACAAGCTTCCATCTGCACAAGGTACTATCTTTGTTTTGACATTGATGTTATCTTATTCGAGATTCCGAATACTCGAAATGGGATCGATGATTGGTTTTTGCCTTTCATAATTCACAGCTACATTTCCGATCGTTATTCTCAAAAGGGTAACGCAAAGTTATGGCCTTTTTTTTCTTATATTAAATGCCCATTTACTACCGAAAAAAATGCGAATTGCAAAAAAAAATGTATGGACATTTACTGTAATGCTGCAGAAGTTTTGAACTTTTGTTTTCTTCTGTTCATCGTTATCCTTAGGATCCTCTGTCCAAAAGAAGTGGGTATTTAAGACGCCACCTAACGGGCGTCTCAGAATTAACTCTCTCCCCGCCGTTAAACGTAACGGCCAAGACGTTCTCTTTAGTGGCAGATTTCTGTTACGGCGCGCATGTCCAGTTAACGCCGTTAAACCTCACTTCCCTGAGAGTTGCTGCCGAGCAGCTTCTGATGACGGAGAACGACGGAGACGGTCGGGAGAACCTCATGCAGATAACGGAGTCGTACTTTCGGCGAGTCGTATCCGTAAGCGTAGATCACACGCGCGTTGTTCTCCGTTCCTGCCTTCTTATGCTTCCTGAGTCGGAAACTACGGCGTTTCTGCTCGGCCGGTGCATCGAAGCGTTGACTTTGACGGAAGACGGAGACGGCATAGACGATTTCCTCGGTGATGCCGTTAGACTTGACGCCGGTGATTTCGTGATCGTCGCCCAGGCCGTGCGGCGGCGGTTCCCGCGCCACGACTTGCTATACAGGATCGTCGAAGCTTACGTGAAGGTAAAGGTTATTTTCGTCATTTGGTGATCACAGCTGGACACGTGCCGCCTCCTCATGGACGTAAACTGCAGGAGCAAGACGGAAAGATAACGGAGGAAGAGAAGGTTCTGGTATGCAGTGCGATAGACTGCGGCAAGCTCTCGCCGCCGTTACTCCTCCACGCGGTCCAAAACCCGATAATGCCCCTGAGGTTCATCGTACGCGCCATGCTTCAGGAGCAGCTCAACACGCGCCGCTCGATTCTAGCCGACGCTGGTGGAAACCGGCAGAGCGCCGCCGCGAGAAGCTCCTCCGTAACGCTCGGCTCGATTCTCCAGAGAGACTCCGCGGCGCGGCAAACTGCTAGGCTCAGAGCCACGATGGAGTCCACCAGCTCGAGAATAGAGAGCCTGGAGAAAGAGCTCAACGCCATGAGGAAGATCATCTCCGAAGAATCCGAGATGCAGAGATCGGGTGGGATCGGGTCGAGAAGCGTGCTGGATTCCGGTCGATCGGCGAGCTTCCATTGCGTTTTCCCGCCAAGTGAGGGAAAGATAGAGAGAGGAGAGAGAGGATCAGCGTCGTCGCTCGGCACGACATTCAGGAGAGGAGGCGGACACAGCGGCACGAGAGCGGTGGCTCCGTCGTCTTCCTCCGCCGGATCGGCCGCCGGGAAAAGCAGCGGTAAAAGAAATATTGGGAGAAAGCTGATAAATGGAATAAAAAGTGCTTTATGGCGATCCAAACCAACTCCGCATAAAAGCCCCTCCATCATAGACGACATTTACGATGATTTGGAGGATTTCGTCTGCATCAAGAATGATAACTCGCATTTGTAATTCATTTCATTACAGTTTATTACAAAATTCCAAAATCACATTCGGTGCATATCCACCATGAAACCAACAATTCTGCTTTTTTTTTATATATAAAAGGGAGGCCACAGATATCGTAACGTACATCTCACGCTCCTGATACAGAGCGTCATCAAGAATGATAACTCGCATTTGTAATTCATTTCATTACATTTTATTACAAAATTCCAAAATCACATTCGGTGCATATCCACCATGAAACCAACAATTCTGCTTTTTTTTTATATATATAAAAGGGAGGCCACAGATATCGTAACGTACATCTCACGCTCCTGATACAGAGCGCTGTAATCCACGTATAGGCAATATTAAAATTTAGGGAGGGGTATTTCGATACGATTTTTTGGAACTGAACTGTATCGATCTGAAAATTACAGTATTTTTTTTAACCTTTAAAAAAAATGAATTTTCTGGAATCGAAGCGAAACAAAATGAATTTTTAAAAAATCATGAAAACCCGCAAATTTCTTAAAAAAATCTATAATTTTTTTAATCCAAAGCGCAATCAAAACCGAATCGAACTGAATATAAAATAATAAACGATTGGTACATAATTTTATAAAACCGAAAAAACTAAAGCTAATCATTTCAGAACCGAATTCAAACCGAAACGTCTACCCTACTAGAATTGGTACAATTCTTGATAAATCATATATACATATTTATACAACTAATATCAGAACTTGGTCATGATTAAAATTTATAGAATTACAAATTTTAATAATTCAATTTGTAGCACCAAAACGATTTGTATTAAAGAGCATTAGAATGAAATAATAGTTTTGTATGTGTATATATATATATATTCGGTAAAACAATGAATAAAAACAAAGGTTGGTTCCAGTTGATGGACCCGGGCCCCGTCGGCCGTAACCGCCAAACCCACATTCGTGTTCGTGTAGCATGCAACGATATATGCGGCCTTCATGAGATCCACTCATACTAATATTAAATATATAATTAACACCGATAATTTTAGTGTTTACTTTAAATGCAATATTTATTATAAAAAATGACGTCCAACCCGTTCCATCAATGAGTATTTTATTTTTCACGATCTCTGGATCTTGGAGCCCTTTTTCTAGCTTTTTTTTCCTACTTTATAATTTTTTTAGTAAAAATGTTTATCTATAGATAGATAATTTTGAACATATATATATATATATATATGAAATCTCTATTACCTAAAGTATTGATATTAGTTTCGGGTTAAGATTATATATATTTTTAAAATTGTTGTTGTTTCAAAGAAATTTATATATTTTATGTGTGTGTGGTTTTTTTCCAACAAAAAGTATTAAAAATGTATATATATATATATATCATTAAATAAGTAGATGGGGCCATACGACTGCTCGCCATTAGCTGTGTGGAAAGCTAAACAATGGCTTCTTTCTAGTGGGTCCATCCGTCCACGTCATCTTTAATTCTCAGTTTCTATCCAATTACTTTCTGTATAAATAGCCCTCTAAAGTTCTATCATATAATCATACCCACAAGTCGAAATATTCAAATACATTAAATATTTCTTTACAATTTCCAATTCTTGGATTTCTTCTCATTCACAAACAGAGTGCCATGGCCAAGAAATATTTCCCTTCACCACCCCTAACTTATCTTCTTTGCATTGTCACCCTCTTCACATTGATTATTCCAATTTCGTCTCGACCCGCAACTTTCCTTCAGGATTTCAAAGTCGCATGGTCTGATTCTCATATCCGTCAAATCGACGGTGGTAGGGCTATCCAGCTCGTTCTTGACCAGAATTCAGGTATAATGCATATTTCCTGGGTGATTTTGATTGTAATCAAACTTTAGGGGCTATTTTGTAAAACACGCTTTTACACGTTCTCCTGATGCTTCTTCTCTTCAGGATGTGGGTTTGCCTCGAGAAGCAAGTACCTCTTCGGACGAGTGAGCATGAAGATCAAACTCATCCCCGGAGACTCCGCCGGAACCGTCACCGCCTTCTACGTAATCTCTCGTTTTCTTTTTGGTCCTTAACTTTCTTTAACTTTGCTTTGACCCCTCGAGTTCCCTTGGATGCCAAGAAACCCCTTGCTGGAATCTTGAACCGTGTCTAATGTCACGTATGTGTTTCAGATGAACTCGGATACGGACAGTGTGAGGGATGAACTGGACTTTGAGTTTCTGGGAAACCGAAGCGGTCAGCCGTACACTGTCCAGACGAACATCTACGCACATGGGAAAGGAGATAGAGAGCAAAGGGTTAATCTCTGGTTCGACCCGGCCGCCGATTTCCACACATACACCATCTTATGGACCCATAAGCATATTGTGTAAGCTCTCTCTCTTCCATAAACTATTTTATCTGAACTTTGGCATATATTGTAACAGTTTTGACAAATTAAAATTCTATACTCAAAACTTGTAATCAATACAAGAATTAATGGAACGAACACCATGGCGACGAAAAAACACAAAAAAAGACCGTAGAAAATAGCTAAGAACGTATTTTTGGCACGTGTGGGTTGCTGTCAGTTTCTACGTAGACGACGTGCCTATAAGAGAATACAAGAACAACGAGGCGAGGAACATACCGTACCCTACGTCCCAACCCATGGGGATCTACTCAACGTTATGGGAGGCCGACGACTGGGCAACACGTGGCGGGTTGGAGAAGATCGATTGGAGCAAAGCGCCGTTCTACGCTTATTACAGGGATTTCGACATCGAAGGTTGCCCCGTTCCAGGACCGGCTATCTGCCCATCCAACCCTAAGAACTGGTGGGAAGGTTACGGCTACCAAACCCTAAACCCCGTTGAAGCCAGACGTTACCGTTGGGTCCGAATGAACCATATGATCTACGATTACTGTACGGACAGGTCTCGCTACCCAGCTCCTCCGCCTGAGTGTCACGCTTGAGCTCCGAGTACATTATTCACTTACATGTTCTTACGAATACGTATATATACATATATACACATGTATACTTGTGATATAAGATATACGTGTAATTTGCTTATTTTCGATATATGTGAATGATGTATTGTGTTTGGGGGCCGCCGGTGTGCGCGTGTGTATATGATGGTTTGTGGTTGTGAAAATAAATAATTAAATAAATGTGAGATGGACTGTCTATATATATATATATATATGTTCTTATATATTTTTTTAAAAATTCCTGTTGCGGGTTTTGGGGAACGAAAGCGATTCGTTGAACGAAGGGCATATGCATACACAACTCTGAATCCAGAAATGCTTTGGAGCTGCATGGTCCTAATTTTGTAGCTAACGGGTTAACGTTTTTAGTTTAAAAAATAATTACGAAAATGACGTATGAATTGATTTAGAACATGTTCAATTAAATAGCTTAACCCTTTTTTTCTTATATAATTTGACCTAAAACATGTGATAGAACGGCGTTACTAGGGTCCAGAATTCAAATGCGAATTCGGTATTAAGTGTTCGGAATCATTACGTGAAAATAACATTACATCTACTTACTACATATTAAATATCTGTGGATAAATATAGTTTTTTTTTGTATGTATAGAAATTCCATCCATACTTGATATCAAAAAATATAATAACCCCTCTACCCAATATATATTCCTATATGGAAGTTTATTGGGTGGTTCAACCGGTAAAAAAATAAGCAAAATTCATTCCCAATCCGGATTCGAGTATTCATTTTAGGAGAGATATTTACATGGGTTTTTCTGATCTTCTATAAGATGTAGTCGGATAAAGGTTTATTATAAATTATAAAAACAATAATGTTACATCTACTTTGTAAATTCGACGTTTTAGTTGTATAAATACGTCATACATAAGCGATAGAAATGAATTTAAAGCTTATTTCGGGTCTCTAAATCAGAAATTTGATTTATTTCAATCCATATGCTACAATATTAACATAACATAATCCAAAATTGGATGATTAAGTGATAAGTATAGGAAACAAAACTTCTTTTTTTAACCTAGATTCGAATTTTGATTTGTGAAAGGGTATTGATATAAATTTTTTCGACTCTCAAGAAAATGCAGTTGTGACAAAGTAAAATTTCTGATTATATATATATATATATATATATATAAAGCATAACATTGACAAATCCGCCAAAGTGTTCCTAACATTCGGTTCTCTCTCTGTTGTTTCGGTTGGTCAACCTTCCGAGCGAGTTAGAGTCTCTCGTATCTTTTATAGGTAAATAAATGTTCGTTACGCAAAATTGCATGCGATCGTGTTTAATCCACTTGTTATATTATTTTTGTGTTTTATATATATTTGTTGTCATTAGGTCATTTTGAAATTAAAGATAGTAGTTAGTCGTTTCTCTCCGCGTAGCGTTATAGCGCCCCGTCGGCTTCATAGGTTATATCGGACGCATCGTCATGTTGTATATATTTGCTTTTGGTGATACGTGGCTTAATTCGCTATCCAAGAATGAAAGAGAACGTTTTTTAAATGTCCCATTGGAAATTTGAGATTGCGTTTTCCATTTAACAAAGACCCTAAACGATAACGATAAATATAAAACATACCGATATTAGCAGCATACCATTTCCAAGATTAAATGTCTGTAGCGCTGTCGGACAGATCATGGGGACCAGAATAATGAGAACCACAGATACTTTCTTCTGATTATATAAAGAAAAATATATGATTACAGTTTGAATTCACTCTATATAGTAAATTATAAAAAAAAAAAAAAAGAAAGAAAGAGGATTTAGGGCAAAAAGGAGAAGGCAGCAAAAAGAACAGACAGCAGCCTCCGTCTCCATCGTCATATCGCCGCCAACGAATTTCGCTGAGAGATGGAGAGGACCGCAGTGTTTCCGGGTAACCAAAATTACCTCCTTTGCCCTTCACGCGCCGTCGCCACGCGCCTCCATTCTCTCTCCTCTGCACCGAGTCTCCGGTCTCTTCATCCGCCCTCTATCTCTCTAAAGGTTAATCTCTTCTTCTCTGCTGATTAATGTTTCTTCCGAGTTCTTACCTTCCGGCCGCGTCTTCGGGTTTTCTCTGAGCCCTTTTCGTTTCTCCGATTACCCTGCAGCAACGGTGTTCTCTTTCTTCCTCATCTTCTGATGCCATCCATGGCGGAGTCTCGTCTCTTCGATGCGATGCCGTTTTGTCCAACTCCACCAGGTTCATTTTCGTTTCCGGTAGTCTTTTAGGGTATTTGGGTTTGTCGGAACGCAATCACCTTTCGGTGAGGTTGACCTTTTTCTTTGTCTTGATCTAATGTCTGAATAGCTCCGAGATGTCTGAAGTAGCCGACATAGATTGGGACAGCATAGGTTTCGGTATTCAACCAACCGATTACATGTATATCATGAAGTGTGGCCGCGACGGGAATTTCTCTAAGGGCGAGTTGCAGCGTTTTGGGAACATTGAGCTGAGCCCGTCAGCCGGTGTTCTCAATTATGGTCAGGTAGGTTTCTTTGTTTCTCAGGTCTTGTCCTTTTGAGACAATCTTAGTCTATGGAATGGAAATGCATTTCTTGGGTTGAGTAGTTGAAAATATGAGGTAGTTGCAGTTGCAGGAGCTTTATAACTTGTCAACTCCTGTTTTTTTTTTTTTCTTAGAGGAGCTCATTTTTCCTGATTTTCTTGTTACATGAGTGAGATTCCTCCATGACTCTTGTTGTTGTTGTTACTCTTTCACTAGTTTCTATACGAGGCTTTAGTTCTAGATATTTGATTGGAATGCTCTAATAAGGCCGATTAGTTTCTTCTCTGAATGGTTGCAAGACTTTGAATGGTTCTTGATGCGGAAATGTGAGGCAATGTATCATGGCTGTGAAAATCAGCCGCAGAATTTTCTGTGATGGTCCTTAAATGGAGGCCTGCATGGCCATCTGGGGCCTGGTTGGAAGTATATGAGAATGAATCAAAGATCAAATATTTATATTATACCCTGCCATTTATATGCATCCGCCATCCAGTTTATCTTCATTTATTCAGTGGTTAAAAGTTTGAACAAGTAATCAAATGATTCAGGTACTTTCTCAAGAAGTGATACTTTGAATTGATGTTTATTTGGGAGTCTTCTCACTTGATAAGATTGTAACCTAGAGGGATAGTTCACTTAGTTAGAATTTAGATTGCCCTTTCTGTGTCTGTGTCTCGGTGACGATAAGATGCTTCATTGTCTCTCCAGCTTGTTGGGTACGATTTTTTCTTCTTCTAAGGGGTCTTATCTCAATTTGTTTTCTAATGCCCTCCTCTGTTTTTAGGGATTGTTTGAAGGGCTAAAAGCCTACAGAACACAGGAGGGGAGCATTCTCCTGTTCCGTCCTGAGGAGAATGCTATCCGCATGAGAATGGGGGCTGAGAGAATGTGCATGCCTGCCCCAAATGTCGAACAGTTTGTGGAAGCTGTGAAGAAGACCGTGCTAGCAAACAAACGATGGGTAATGGCAATACATATTCTTTTTTTGATTATGTAAAAGTATCGAATTATCTTAGTGATATGCTTTTTTCTTGATGTGTTATTGTTTCAGGTTCCTCCTCCAGGTAAAGGTTCCTTATACATCCGGCCATTGCTAATGGGAAGTGGAGCTGTTCTTGGTCTTGCCCCAGCTCCTGAATACACTTTTCTTGTTTATGTTTCACCAGTGGGAAACTATTTCAAGGTTAGCCCGACTCCAAAAAGTTTCGAAATTTCCTCTTCACACATCCAGAGGCATATCCTTTGATGGTATTTAATATATTTTTCAATGCTTAGCTGTTGTGATTAAGAACATTTTCTTAGTGATGTCAGGAAGGGGTGGCACCAATCAACTTGATTGTGGAACATGAATTTCACCGTGCCACTCCAGGTGGTACTGGGGGTGTCAAAACGATAGGCAATTATGCTGCAGTAAGTAGGCAGGCTCCTTGCTTGTTTGGTTTTCCGGTTTTCGGTTTTCAAATTCAAACGTAGCCTCGGTTATTTGTAATCTAGGTTCTGAAGGCACAGTCAATTGCGAAAGCCAAAGGATATTCCGATGTTTTATATCTTGATTGTGTTCACAAAAGATATCTTGAGGAGGTTTCCTCTTGCAATATTTTCGTCGTGAAGGTAAATCTCATCTGCTGGTATCTGATAGCGCCTTCGAATCTAGATGTTTTTCTTTTACGCTTTGCATTACTTGTTCCCAACAAGTATTGGGGACAAATTCTTATTTTTAAGGACAAGAATAACGCCTTTGAATCTAGATGTTTTTCTTTTACTCTTTGCATTGCTTGTTCCCAACAAGTATTGGGGACAAATTCTTATTTTTAAGGACAAGAATAACATCATCTCGTGTTTGGATATTTGTGCTGACCTAACTCGTTTGGTTCTTGTTTTACCAGGATAATGTGATATGCACTCCTGAAATAAAAGGAACCATCCTGCCTGGAATCACCCGGAAAAGTATAATCGATGTGGCTCGAAGCCAAGGGTTTCAGGTGAATTCTCTTCTCCCAACTCTGAATTTTTTTTTGTGTCCGGACAAGATCAAAGTACTGTTAACACCATCAAGGGCCAAAACTTAAATACAAGGACCGGGCTTGTTGGTGGCATAAGTATAGTATGTAAAAGATCAAAGTTGTTATTGCAGGTTGAGGAACGGGGAGTGACAGTGGATGAGTTGCTAGAGGCTGACGAGGTTTTCTGCACTGGAACTGCTGTCGTGGTCTCTCCCGTAGGAAGCATTACCTACAAGGACAAAAGGTAAAAAAACTCTATTACCCGTCAAAGGCGAAAACTTTCCACAAACCCATTAAAGAGCTACCTACCATAACCCAAAAGATGGAAGCTTTTTTCTTTCTGTTATCCCCTTTAAATCGAAATCTTCCCATCTGTTATGGTGTGCAGAGTAACTTATGGAGAAGGTGGGGTCGGAGCAGTGGCAAACAAGCTGTACACCGTTCTAACCAGTCTGCAGATGGGTCTGAGTGAGGACAACATGAACTGGACTGTCCAACTCTGTTAACAAAAGGGCAACACACTTGAAACTTTTTGCTGCCTGGTTTCGTCTTCTTACATCTCATCTCTGTAGATAAGACTCGGGCTGTTCCCGAAACCCTAAAACCCACCCTATATCCAAGACTTTTTAGTACCTTGGCTTTCTTTGTATCCAAGATTTATTTATGGTGTGAATTGGGAATATCCAAATTGGCGTTGGGATGTGGGTTGCTTAATGAGTGCCAGCTTCTTAATACCATTATTTATGCAACTTGCCAAAATCTAAAGACCCACTTAAATTCTGAATTTTTTTTTACAAGTGAATAGATACATACATATAGGCGCAAAATTAAATAATAATCTGAAGCGATGATTTACTCGAGTTTATATCAATTAGATCAGTCGTTCGAATTTAATAACGTACTAATACTACATAATCATATATTATTTTATAAATAGAAAGAACCATACGATATATTTACCTTGCAAGAGCTGGTTGAGTTGAGAGCGCACACGGGAGGCGTGCAGCTTTACGCAAAGATGTCATGATTATCTCATGATTACGAGATAATAACATGTTTATCTTTAATTCATATATACATATAAATCAATGAAAACGAAACATAAAAAACTGTTTCTTTAAAGAAAAAAAAAGCATAAAGAGGTTATTTCTTATGAAAGGGCTTATCGCAAGAATTACTACTCTCTAGAGGGACTTTACAATACTTCCAAAAATGTAAATTGGATTCCACGAAGTGATAGGGACCTTTTCTCCCCTCCTATGCTATGGGAGACCATCCTCTTATTCTATTTTTTTTTATAATCGGGTGTTTTACGCCGAAATCCAAACTAATCACGGGATCGAGAGCTAACCATATGATTGGAATTACGTTTCTCTCTTTAGCTTGAGATTCGAATTTGAGACGAAATAAACGTTTTGCGTCTCCATTTCACAAGTTGAACTATCCAAATTTAGTATCTATCCTATTCTTTTATTTCTATTTCATAAATTAATAACTCCTACATGCATCTATATATATAGATTGATATTTTTATTGTTTTACATACATCATACATCATCCGTGTATATTGTATATGTATTGTTTTTTTTTTGTTTAAGACAGTATATTCGCAAGGTTTTCACTATAAATTTTTAAGAGTTCAATTTACACAACGTCACTTTATGATTCTTGAGCATATTGAACTTAATCTAAATGTTTTTTTTATATGAAATTTAGTTTTAATATATAACTCCATTAAAATTTCCGAGTTCAACCACCCAAAGAGTAATAATTTCGTAGATTTTATATATTTTTTAAGGTTGGTTAGACCAATAATTTATTTTTAAGATAAATATTATGCAGTTATTTTAAGATGGCCTACGATGCAAAGACCAATTCCTACTAGTGGTGTTGAAATCGGAGAATACATTTTTTCTAACCCTTTAAGCTTAAAACTTTATTTATTTTTCCTAGAATAAACCAATTATATATTCCCATAGAAAGAAATATAATCACATCGGAAAAAATGCTCAATAATTTCAAGATTTGATAACTTTATTTTATCCAAATGCTTTGACTTTCACCGATTTGGAGTCAAAGTCAACCTTTTTTGTTCGTCGTCTAGAAGCCTTAGCATATAATATGGAACTCTCTAGTAGCGAGGCACAAGTTATTATTTAGAAGGTATATATTATTTTTTTTGTAATGATCAAAATTGTAAATTGTGTAATATCGAAGGATATAAGATATTTTTAGTCTAGAAATGAAACTGAACTAGTTTTAGGAAGAAAAAAAACATAAACATATAATTATTTTGCTTATACACACACTATACCACTAAAGTTACAATTAAATTTTAAAAGTGACCTATTCAAGGAAAAATATATAGCATAAAAAACTTTGATAGAGTTAAAAAAAAAATCGTCTTTTTACATATATTTCACAATAGAAAAATCAATGTTTTTTTATATAATTCGAAAGTTCACCAGGTATTGATCCAATTATATCTCCTAGAATACCTAAGAAATCTGGGTGAATATCTTTTCTCAAGTGTAAAATTTAAATTCAGGTTAACAGTATACTTACATGTTTTCTACCCTAAGCCTACCCAAGCTCGGGTGGAAAATCAATGTTAGGGAAGAAGGAGATTAAAGTGGGAGTCTTGAATCTCGACTGCCATGGAAAAATATAATTAATTATTATTATGTTCTAATCATGTATTAAACGTTGCATCTCTATCACGTATTTGCTTAAATTTTAATTTGGGTCCACAACAGGTCAATAGTTTTACAAATAAATGATTATTAAAGCGGAATATACGTCAAATTTATTAAAATAAGAAGAGTAGCAGACAAACACCATCTATCATTTCATTTTTGTTTCTCTCAGTTTGAAAACTTGGACATCTCATTTATTTAATTATTTATTTTTAAACATTTTTAGGTTAATCATTTCATTATCGTGGGGTTATTATATCCTAATCTTCTCGTGGTAAATTTTCTTTGGGTTTGGCCATTTTGTTCACCTACCGTAACGGAATTTACTCTCCACAAATTTCTGTCTTACCTTCCCTTCATCTCTTTTGGTCATTTTGGTTGGTATATAAATAAATATACATACATATATATATATATATATATATATATATATTGAGACACACAAGTTGTTTAACACTAATTAAAAACAACATAAATAGATTAAAAAAAATCATTTCACCATATATCGGAAATATCTGTCTCCATCTCGGCAACGTATATATGAATAAAGAATGTATGATTATCGAGTATGTGTGTGTGTGTGTATATATGTGTACATGTGTGTGTGGCACACGCGCTCGAGTACAAGAGTTACTTGGTCATATATGACTTAGTCCATCACATGTGATAAAATCGTACATTCAATCATGGAATTCCTCTCTTCGATTCGTAAGCTGCCAATGCCATGCAATGCAAGTGGGATTTAAAAGCTATTGTTACAAAGAAATGTTTTGTAAAAAAAAAATATCTCCTTTTTCATAGTAACCAAAAGGATATGATGATATATTATATAGTTTTTATATATTTCTACCTATTGCATCTATATATCGTCCAAAACGCTGTCATATCAAATAGTATTTAGACACGTGGCAAATAATATGATACTTTAAAATTTTGTCTTCATTTGGTATTTGCGTAAGATATAATTCAAGATTTCATAATAGAAAAAAATGGCTCCACTAATTGCGTGGGTATGAACCAAGACCAACTTCTAGCATGTAAAGATCGCATAATTTTAATTTCCGAATTGTCCACACATGCGCTAAAAAATTATTCAAGTTATTCAATTTAATAAATTTTAAACTACTTAATTATTTGATTTTACCGTTCGATAAAGAGTAATTGATTTCAATGCGGAGACTGAAACTGTTTTCCCGGCCGATCCATGCAGATAAGTACAAAGAAATTATTGATTACAGATAATAATAATAATAATAATAATAATAATAATAATAATAATAATAATAATAATAATAATAATAATAATAATAATAAT